GCACATGTAGATGTCAAATGGAAGGGGGTGGATTTCACAGCAGGGGTTGTGGGGGTGGTAAGGGAAAATGATTCAACCTAATTGTGGGCTGTTGCTAAAAGCTCTTTTATTTTCCCTGCCTGCCCTGCTCTCTCCCCAAGCGTGCAGTTAGTGTAAGCATCTGACCTGGCTGAGTACTACACCTACTTTTTTTTTTTCCCCAAAGTTTTCGGTTTTTTTTATTTTAAGCTTTTTCAGTTCTTTATGTGGGCACTAGTGCCAACATGGGCATTTCAGAATGCCTGGAGAGTAAGACCATCTGTTTTTACAGCAACTTTTAGTTAAATTGTCTCCAAATGATTCTAAGAGATAGTAGTTACAGATTAGGTATTAGGAAGAAATTTTTTACTGTGAGGGTGGTGAGACACTGGCACAGGTTGCCCAGGGAAGTTGTGGATGTCCCCTCCCTGGAAGTGTTCAAGGCCAGGTTGGATGGGGCTTTGAGCAGCCTGGTCTGGTGGGAGGTGTCCCTGCCCATGGCACTGGAGTTGGACCAGATGATCTTTCAGGTCCCTTCCAACCCAAGCCTTTCTATGATTCATTTGTTCTTACACATATGAACATAAACATATTAAAGATACTAAAACATACTAAACAGAGAACAGTGCCTGGAGACCTAATCTCACTGTGATCTCTGATGTGTAGGTGTCAAATAATAGAAGATCATTCTATCTGAAACTATAATCTGAGTGTGGAGAAAAGAGGGCTGGGAAAGGATTGCAATCAAATATGTGTTATTGCTCCTTATTTTTGTATTCTCCCATTTATAAGCTATTTTTTTTCTGCTGGAACAGATTACTTAAATACTAGTGAAGATAAGCAGCCACTTAAACAAGTACGAATATGGGATAATATATGCACATGTTCATATATGAAATTCAGGCTAATATAATTAATCATGCGACTAAGAAAAAAGAGTTTATCCTGTAACAGCTTGATGGTCGAGGAGTTCCTATGGAATCTGGTTTTGTTAGGTCTCAGATTTTCAACATTATGTCAAGAATTTTGAAGAATCTTGTTTTCAGGTTGTTCTAGTGACTAGAACACATTTCTTGAACTTTGTTGCTGATTTCTTTAATAAATACTTCAGCAAAGGTGAGAAATTGAGGCTTTTTGCTTGTGGCATAACTTGTAGAATGTAGAAGTGACTGTTCAGTTCAGCTAATTGATTTCAGAAGGGACACTGTTAATCACCAGCTGGGTCTTTGCCGTGCCTGCCTGCTACTGTGAGCAGACAGACTTTTTCAAAGTGGCAGAACTATGTTTCTTTTTGAGCAGTTGGAGCAAAGGAAAAGCCTAATCTGCAATACACCTTTCTCAGATTAATGCGAGTCCTTGTTCTGCAACTTAAGAAATTCCTTTTGGTCACAGCTGGTTATGATTCTGCATTTCTGAATCTTGTTGATAACTTTTCTGCCCCAGACTGACCTACTTGTTTGCCAATTTCATTGATTTCTGTCTTGTCCTTCACTTTGAGATCTCTTCGAAGGAAGGATTACTGTTTTCTGTATGCTTGTGGATCACCAGCAATCTGCTCTGTGTGAGCTTTAATCTAAATGTTTAGTAATAATTTTATTATCACTTTAACATCTGTTTCTCATGCATAGTTCTTTAGTGTCTACAGGGTGAACAAGCAACAAATCTAAATACTTTGTTTGTTTTTAATAGCCCCTTTGATAAAGTTAGGTGTTAGACCTCAAACACGGAGTGATTTATACCTCCCTACTTTAGATTGGAGTGAATTAGTATTTAATCAGGTTGTTCTTTTACTTACCTTCCCTAGCATAGAGTGATATATGCAAGATATGCTCCACAGGGTGTTAATAACCCAGATTGGGTCTGTAATACTGATTTTATAAATGTAGTGTAGCTTTGCATGCCACAAGAATACAATATGCACTTTTGCTGCCAAATTTTCCCCTTGGGCCAGATTTGGACTATCTGCACTGGTCACAAGAGGAGCTTTGAAAGTGCATTGTCTGTAGTAATGAGCTGTCCTGGGATAAACTGCAATTCTGACATAAGGCTTCTTCCACTACAGTAATCCCATTGTGGAGTCTTTTTGTCCCAAAAGAGTATTGCTGGATGCCTGGTTATGTGCACATTTTTTGCTGCTAGAGAAGATTTTACTTTTTCATTTTTTTTTCAGGTATAACTTAATATGCAAATATTAGAGTTTTCTTATGCAGAAACATGAAGCAAACATAAGGAAATGACTTGTGCTTAGTTAGTATTCTTGGGGAAAATGACATTTTAGAAAACTTGTTAGTGGAGATTGTTCTGTTGTCGTTGTATTGCTCTGAGATAGAACTTCATGTATATCTCTATACATGCAAGATGAGTTTTGATTTATATTGATTCCTTCTTTAGCTCATAGAAGTCAGGTTTTAGAATGAGAAGTTCAGATCATTGCTGTCTATCGCATGTTACACTGTGTGGGAGATGCAGGAGTAGAATCATCATCTCATTCCTGAATGCTAAAGTGAGCTGAGAACTGTTATATGTGGAATGGTAGGATTCCCTTCCTGCTCTGTGCCTCATTTGCAGTGTATCTCCATTGGAATTCGTTTGCCAATGTTAGTCTGCGCTGAATTTCATGTACTGTTATTGTTATCTAAAGTGAACTTTACCTGATGTCTGAGGACTTTGGGTTTTTTTGTGCTCAGATATAAGTATCCTCCTTTTTTTGCACGAAATTGTGTTTACTTGGAGCCTAACAAGACTGTGAGTTATTAAAGGCTGCACTCCCGTTTTTTTGCTGTTCCACATAAAGCACTGAAGTATAGTTTTACTGATATGTTGACAAGGAAAAAGAGTAGCATTCTTAAGGGAGTTATACATCAACATTTATTTGCTGATAATTAGAGATATGTATTCATAGTACATTGCTTGTGTATAATGTCTCTTAGCTGTTCATATAAAAAACCTAAGACTTGGTGTGTTATTTTAAATATATTACAGATGGGCTGAAAAATGTGCAGCAGAATAAAATCTTTAAAGAGAATAAGAAAAAGACACAGCAGAGAGAAGAGCCTTTTCCTGCAGATTCGGTAGACTCACTGATGGCAGAAATGCCATTTGTCAGCACAGATATTGAAGATGAATTTGTTAGTAAGTATATTAAACAGAAGTAGGGTGGAAGCCATAGGCACACCACATACTCTGTTCTTGGTTCTGCATGTTGGTACAGGTGGGCTGTGCACGTGGGAAAGAGTCTCCCTGCAAACAGGATCCTGTCCAGAGCCTCTTATTAGTGTTCAGTCCTGCAAATGTTTGAGCATATTAAAAATTTACTGTTTTGTGATCCATTGCAGCAATTAATTACAGAATAAAGACATCTTGTATGTCAATTCACATTACTACATATGAGCTTGTCAAGTGATGGTTTTTATGCGCTGTCTTCCAATGCGTGTATTCCCAGCGTGGGGCTGGAAGTGCTCCTCTAATTGAACAGTGGATGTCTGCAGTATGATCAGCTTATGGGTTTGTATCAGGCCACATGGTGGGAGAGGGTCTGCAAAGGATTGAGGAAGTAAGCTGAGAGAAAAATAATTTATGGTGCACAGGAAGAATTGAGGACATGCACTTTTCTTTCACTATGTTGGAAGGTGTCTTTAGGAAATGAGGAGGTAGAGAGTGGATCTGGCTTGGATTAAATTTTCTTCTGGGCTGGGTTTGGTCCTTGAACAATAGGTTGGCCAGTCCTACTCTAATATAACCTTTTCCTTTAATAATCCTATGTATTACTGTGTTTTTTGTATTTCAAAATGCAGCATGTGTGGGATTTTTAAAACTTAATATTGGCCCTTTTGCTCTAAGCAATGTCCATGTTCATGTGTAGACAATTTGCAGGCCTGTTACACTGCAGTGTGAGTTGGCTAAATGAAACACAGTAGTCTGGAAGCTGTGTGTCTATGTTAGTAGCTTACATGCCCTGCTTGGAGGCATAGGATGTTAGTTCACGTGTGATACTCCACGTATGTGACTACATTAATTCAGGTTGGAGAGAGTTCAGAGCATGAGCAGATCAGGTGACTGGAAGGACATGCTCCGGTCCGTTGACTGAAGTTCAGTTTCTGTAGCCATGATGTTACATGAATCTTTGTTTTGATTTTTCTGTATGCTGAAAGTATTTTTTTTTCTCTATAGTGAATGCAACCTCTGAAATCAATGTAAAAAAGAAAAGAAAGAGGACTACTGGAAAGGAAATTGAAGAAGGCAGTGAGAGGAAGAAGAAAAAGAAAAAACAGTATCTGCCAAATTATTTCATTTCTCTTCCAATTACAAATCCAGAGGTGATATTCTTTGTTATAGTAATTTGGTATAACCAGAATTACTTCAACAATGATGAAGAACAGTGATCTTAAGCAAAATATTTTTTTCAGGTATTTTTAAAGGAACATTAGTAGCCAATTCAAAGAGTAACTTTATTTTATGTAACAGTTTTGTGAATAAAATTGCTTATCTGGGAAAGACTAGAGGAAAAATATTTATCATTTTATTAAGTTTGTCAGTCTTATGGATTTGACATTATTTTGACTGAAGGTGGCTTAAATTTCCCCTCTGTACTGTTCCATTATTTATTTTGTCATTCACTTAGGGGAAAAGAGACATTCCTACTTAATTTAATAAGAAAATCTCTAGTGATAATTTTAACTCTCCGTATTGATTGGAATTTAAATTTGGATCTGTTGCTGTTTTAACTAGGTGGTTTGTAGTTTAACATTTTCCAGTAAAATTTATCATCTTATTTAAAATTCGAACAACCTATTGTTTTGATGAGATGTTGTTCCAATGGATTCAAGAAGTGCAGAGAGCTTTTTAAGAAAATGTATTTTCTTGTAGTTAGCATGTGTTGTCTTATTTAGACGGTGAATGAGAATGATTTCTTCCATGCTGTGGAATGTCTCTGGTGCAGCTTTGATACCTTTTTTGTCTGCAAACAAGGAAAGGAGGTGCATTATGTTTAAAAAGTGAAAACCAACAGTTTACCACCAATTTAGGTTTATTTTTTATTGCCAGGAGCTCTCTCAGGTGAATTTTAACTCATCCTACATCTGTACTATCTGTTTTCTGAGAAAGTTAAAGATTAAGAGAATCTGAAATTAAAATAAACCAAAGTAGATTTGAAAATTACAGTGCAGTCTTTGATTCTTCAAAACATACTATGTGAAGAAGAGATTGTAGAGGTTGGTTTTATAAGATGCAGGATAGCCTGACGTGAATACTGTGGGAGATGTTTTGTGCCATCTTACTCTGAAATATCTTCCTGTCTGTTCCATGATTTAACAAGTGCAAGAATAATGAAGAGGTTATATAATCTGGTAATTGAGAATTCCTGCTCACGGTTGTTATGATGTTGAAAGGCCATTGAAGTGGAAAAGACTCAACTATGCATGCTTTTTTATATGTCATGTATTTAGTCCTACAACATTTACAGAGGTAAAGGAACAACTGTATTAAATCTCAGAGCATTTGGGAATTCCAGGACTTTGCTAGAAAGTTTTGTTTATACTTGCCTTAGATACAGAGTTGTTCCAAAAGTAAAGACACACTGGAATTTGTATAGGCAACATTAGCCAACGTTAAGACACCTGGTCTCTTGATAGCCAGAGGGAATCTGGCAATTAATTTCAGCTAGTAATGAGAGACCTCTCTTTTTTGAGGATGTGCTTTTGTTCCAGTGCAGCGTTTTAGGCGTTAGTACTCTTCCTTCATGTTTTATGTAGTGTTTTAAGCTTTATGCAGAGAACCATTTTGTAGTAAGGGGTAGTTCTGGAACATTTCATGAACTGTTCCTCTTGGAAATTAAAGTTTCCTTGTTTTCATTTTAACTGTGTTTTGAATCTTCAGAAATAAAATGTGGTGTTCCATTAATTTTGAATTTATGTTGAACTTTACATTATTACTTGTGCAGAAATATTTAAATGGATGGTTATCATTATATCCTTTTCTGATTTTTTTTTTTTGAGTGATGTTTCATCTGGTGTGTCATCATTTGGTAGGTTAGCTTTTCAGGGTCCTCGAGTCTTGATTATAAATAGAATTAATCTTTTAAATCTTTAAAGCTTATAGTCTTTATATTCACTTAGTAGTTGTATCCTTGCAATAAGCAAAAGTAAGTTATCTTCAGAATAACATATTCCATGTAATGGGAGAGGGGACCTTGAAATCAGTGTGTTAGGCTTTATTATGGACCACCTTTGGAGCATTGTGCTCAGCACTGAGATTCAAATTAAAAAAAAATCAGATTCAAGTTTTCTACATGCTTCTTTTAGACCTTATATGCCAAAGCTGATTTGTCTGTAGTGTCTTTGCTTCCCATGCTTTAAGAAATAACTAATTTTGTCAGATGGTCAAGGTTGTTTGATTTGATTAATTTCCACTAACATATTCAAGAATTCTTGCAGGGTTGAGTTTTTGTTTGTTTGTTTGTCTGTTTAATCACTACAATACAACAATCATAATGGCAAGCACAATAAACATTTTGAATACAATGTATAAAGCCTGTATAACCATACAAATAATTTTCAATGATGAAAATATAATTCAAATAATTTTAAAGAAAAAGACTGATGGAGTTAGAACTGTATACATGTTGTACGGAAAATCATTAAATTATGTTTGAAGACAGTAAATAAATGATATCTGTCTATTGGACAGTATAATCAAAATTGTATACTGAATATCTCTGCAAATTATTTACTGAATATTCCTGGTTTTTATGTGCCCGATCCTGTAAAAATCTTTCTTTTTCCAGACACTTGTCTGCACATAGCAGCATACAAGTTTAGCAAAGCAGGCAGAGAAAGTCCTTGAAGAAGCCTTTTATTTGGGTTACTGGCAGTGTAAAACTGGATGATCTTAATCTGCTGCAGGAATTTATCATACTTATGGAAGCAAACTCCTATTAAGATGTGATGGGGAGTGTCCAGTGATTTATTAATCACTCCATTCATACCCACTTTGAGTTTACTCGGGTCAATTAGCACAGCTTTGTGAGAGGATAAAACTTTCTTCTGCTAGAATGGTTTTTACATAAACGTTTGATTTCAGTTTTTGTGCTTTCTTGTTCACTTGCATGATGGGATACAGTAATTGTAATGGCTAACTGTTGTTTCTGTGTCTGTCTTTCTTCCCAGATTACTGGCAGTATTCAGGCTGTCCAAGATGCAATAGTACAAAAGGATCAAAGGCTTTCCAAAGCAATGATTCACTCTGGCTCCTTGCATGTCACCATGTTCGTGATGCATTTATCCAATGAAGAAGAAATTCGCATGTATGTATTTGGGGTTAAATTAAATGTAAACAAGTATTTTTGCTGGAGTTCATAAAAAGACAAGGGGTAACATGCTTATTTTTTATCAGCTATAAATTACTAAGATTACTGAACATTTAATTAATGTTCTTAAAATACTATATTAATATTAGCCATTTTCATAACTTAACGTATGTCATGAGCTCTGAAGAAAGTGTGCTTTTTTTTCCCTTGCATTTTTCATACTGTGCGCTGTACTTGCATGCACAAATCTCATGTTTGTGAAAGTAATTATTGTAAACCAGTGTTGCGGTATGGGGGCACTGGAGAGATTAACAGGAGAATTTTCACAGTTTCATAGCTTAGCAAATGTTTTAAGCCAAGTTAGTAATTGTCACTGCAAGACTTTAATGAAATAAACCTTAGCTCCAAGCTAATGCTTCATGCAGTTATAGTTCTTATATAGTCCCTAAATGAATTATACTCAAAATTTAAGTAGACTAAAAGAGAATTGACTATTAGGCCTTATCAAAAGTATAATTTTTATGTTGCTTCAGTGATATATCTGATTTTTTGATCATATAAAAGGTAGAAAAGTTGTGGAAAGGTGAATGTATTATACAATGACATCATATGTCTAAGTGTTGGATGCAACTATTTGCTTTATAAAAATGAAGTTCTTTGTGGTTTTTACTGTTTATCAGATTCTGTACTGTTATTTGATAAGCCTACTTTAGTGTACAAGTTCAATGGTTAATACAAAGATGTTCAGACTTTTAAGTCTTTCTATACAGCTGTAATTTATGAATGTTTGGAATAAGAATTTGTGTGTCTAGCTGTAATTTTAACTTGAAATTAAAACATACACTGCATTTTATAGTCCTGCTTTACACAGACTTCCCTGACAGTTTATGTTTAGATGTGGTGCCCCATGGCCTGCATATGTGATGTGTCTATATTCACACAATATAATTGCAGCATTGAGATTGCAAACACTTTGGTAAGTGTAACAGAGTAGTACCTAAAATGATGATAAATGTCCTACTGACACTGTATGAACACGTGGGAATCCTCCGTTGCTTATGTGTCAATTTTGTAGTGAATTGCTAATGAATGAATCAATATTCATCAGATCCTTATAATTCTGCGATAGGGCTCACGGTTTCATCTTCATCAGGTGACTTCTTTCAGGAGCCCTCTGACATAGATACATATATTTTACTGATTTTCTCTGCAGTGTTAGCAGGGATCTGGTTCATGTACTGAATTATCTAGATCAAATAATGAATAGGTGCAGATAGACGTTGCTTTGGTTATGGTAATACAGTTACAAAATGATGTGTCTAATAAGTGTGTTGAATAATTTTTCCCCCAGAAGGTTTGGCTGTTAAAGTGCAGATTGCTTATAAGAAAGTGAGAATCTAAGCTAGAATGTAGGAACCATTTGATAGTCAAGGGCATGCTACTAATAAGTAGAAGTATTTGGCTAAAAACATTTAACACACCTAAAAATGATGATATATCAGTATATGTAAATCAATTGCCCTGCATGTTTTTCACTCTTATTTCCTTGAATGCTATATCCTCAAGGCCTCTACACTCTTACCTCTCCTGTGAGGATGCAAGTCTGCCAGCATCCTTGTTTTCAATGGTTTGATCTAGAGGGAGAGAAACAGATAGCCAGGAACAGAGAATAGAAAGGAAAGCGAAGGATACTAGATCTGCTGGACTCCCTCTCCTCTCCATGTGCCTTTTGTCTCCTGGAGTTGGCACACCAGCTTCGTACTGCCTTTTTTGATAAGTAAACTGCAGTAACACCTGAAAATCGGTGAGAACAACCACTGACTGTGTGTGCGAATTTTTTTTAAAAGGGTTTGAAATATGAACTTTTCAAAAAGGGAATGTGAAAGGATATCTCAAAGGCAAGTATGCCTTCTCATTAATATATTTTAGAGTCCTAAACTGTATATCAAAACAAATATTCCCGAATTCAGTATCTTCTGCAACTCTGTGAGCTCCTTCTCACCTCTCACTGTCTGACTGCCACCCAAGTACTTACTTATGGAGTTCTTCTCTGCCTCTCCCAGCAGAACTCCATAGTCCAGGCACCCAGGAGCTGTCCTGTAGTCAGCAGAGCTTCCCCAGTGGTTCACCCCTTCCCTGGCCAGATGCCTCCTACAGGTATCTAGGTCAGCTGTCCTCAGGTATTCTAGATTGCATTTTCTATTATATGGGATTCTTTATTTTTATTTTTTTTAATAACTGATGTTTTTTGTTTAATCTTTTCAAAGAATTTGAAGAGTGAAAAGTTTGACTTTTCCTTTCTTTACTTCACCAATTTTTGATACCAGGTTAATAGAAAGAAACCAAGATTCAACCTGGCAAAAGAACCTGTGTATAACATAGGGTGAGAGTAATCTCTCAAACAAAGTGCAGCTAGTCAACTGGGCATCTGAGAGTTCACAGATCCTTAGGTTTGGATCCATTAAGTTACTTAGATATGTACAGTTTTTCTACTGCATGTGCACAATAGTGCCTCTGTCTGTACAGAAATAAAATGTGTTGAATGCTATTGGAAGTCAAAATGCGTGATAAGAATGTGCTAAACATAACATTCAAGTCAGCACAAAGGCCTTTGTATGGTATTTTAGTACATACAGCTTTCACCCTGAAAACGGTAGATCTGTTTTCTAGGCTGCTCTTTCTAAGGGAATCCAGACCTGCAATTCCCACGCGAGTTTCCTGACTGATTGGCTGTGATAGAGCCTTCGTGAATGCATTTTACATCTCTTTTTGTAGGAAAATCTATAGAAAATAATGAATGTGAGATTTAAAAACAACGTCAAGCAAGCAAGAGTCATGACAGCACTCTGTTCAAACAGAGTTCTCATCCATGCTAACTGTATGCATAGTCATGGCATCAGGTACTGGAAATCAGGATGCATGCTTTTGCAGTAGATGCCTTCATTACCAGACTACAGTGTCAAGTTCTTCTTCCTTGTTATTTGTCACAGATTCTATGACTCTAACCTTTCCATTGCAAATACGAGAGCTGAAATTACTCAGTTTGGCTTTTCTTGCAAAGTTGCTTTTCTAGCAAGTAATCAAAATTAACAATTCAGAAATTTCTGAGAAGAAACTACATCCATTTTAAGTGCTTTAGCATTTACATTACAACAATATAGGAAAAAACAGGCACTGCTTCTATAATCCTAGTTTGTATTCACTTGAAATATGCTGCTTAATTCTTTTTTCTAAATTTCTTTTTTCCACTTTGGATCAAAATGCTTGTAAACTTTATTATTATCCATATGGGTTAGTTGCACTGAGTGTACTATTTGGCACAGAATAACAAGAAAATACCACTGTTGTGTTTTTTTGCTATTGACTTCAGTGGAAATATTTGTCCTTGTGCATTATTTTTACAAAGCAATTGTTACATGTTCCAAAGTGATTGATAGAATATGAAAATACAAAATACGCTAGAGTGAGGTGCCAAATATTTTTTTTAGTATTTTAGTGTTTACAAGATAATATAGAAAAGCAAAAGTAGAACTAAAACTAAATTTTCAGTGACACACTGCTAAATTGTAAACACGCTGCACTGTTTGAATTGACCTCTCCTAGACCTCATCAGGTAGAGCTGACCTGGTCAGTGAGTTCTGCAGCACACTCTACAATGTGGAAATACAAGTCTTTGTTCAGCTTAGGAACAGAGCTTTCCATGACTCTCTGTGTACCAGATCTCCGGTGCAAAAAATCCGGAGATGGGTTTTGGGTATGTGCATGATTCACTACTTGAAAGCCCGCTGTGATCTTTGACACAGTGTATTTGAAATATCCGTACTTGTTTTGAAACAGTGTTCAGGTTCATGTTGGTAAATAAATCTGCGCATGATTACCTGTGAAGTAATCTGACAGGTATAATTAGTATTAGATGGTATTTTTGAAAGGTCTTGAAGTATAGCGCATATGAACGACATAGGAGTAGGCTTGTGTAATGGTGATAAAAGGGTAGGTAAGTGGCAGAGACTGTGCTCAAAGAAAAACATCTTTGTCAAGGAACAAGTTAATGGCATTGTTGTTTAAAGTGGTTATATAGAAGCTAAAGTACTTCTAGGTTGTAAATTAAAGCCATATAAAAAACCACAGGAGGCCTGTATCAATCGAGTATTTTGTCATGTAATGAACCTTAACATCTTAATCTGGCCTACGATTCACTTAAATGCATAGTTCTCATCAAGAGTCCATCGTGTTAAACACAATGGAAATGTGTGTATTGTTGTTTGCAATTGTACAGGCTTAAAGAATATTATTTAGCCTACTTAGAAGTCGTGGTGTGATGGCTTTCATCCAGATAGGACAGAAAAAGTATAACAAAGTCTCTTGAGAGTTTTTAATCTGTCACTGCCATCTAGCGTTTGTAAAGTCAACATAGGTTTAGTGAAAAGTTTTTAAATGCGGTTTCATTGAATAAAATTAAAAACCGAGGATGTGAGAAATATTTTAGAATACACTAAAAATGTTTATATAGTTTTTGTTTAGCATGTGAACCACTTCAAGTGCAAGTCAAAACATGTATTCTGTGTGATTGTACATGCACTCGATATGGCTGATTAAAATTATTATAAGGTTACCAGGTTTGCTGGTAAATTGCGTGTAGATTATGTGTGCATGCTACTTACCTCTTAAAGAAAGTAACCATCAATTTAAATAGTATTTCTTTTAATAACAATTCTTAATAAGCTCAATAGTAAATCATTATGTATGTAATGTCACTAACCTCTGTTTGTACTATTATGTAACAATGCAGTAACTTTGAATGAAGCAGAATCTTAGAGTGTTCAGTTTAGCTCTCAGGAGATGAGAAAAGTGAATTAATTTAAGAATGGAAAACAAATCTTTTCAGAGTAAGCTTCTTATTTAAATGGGTTGCACAGAGTAATAGGTACACCATCATCTTAATGTCTAGTCATGTCGACGACAGAGATAAACTCTTCTGAGGAACTAAACCTGCTGCTAGGTCTGCCTTATGATTTCTCTGGCTTTCCATCAGGGTGTGTGAACCAGTTTACCTTTATAAAATGTTAATAATAATACTGACTGAATTGACAGGAAGTAGCGCAAATGTACTACTAAGTAGATAATAAATTGATACTAATAAATCTTTGTGAGATTTTTAGACAGAATGATTAATAGCAATGTAAACAGTATTAATATATTTGACTTTCACATAGATATTTTCTTTCCCCTTGGCAGAGCAGTTGGTGCTCTTTCAGACAGCAAGGATTTTGTAGAAGATCTCCTGAGAGGAAAAACGGTGGATTTGTCTTTTCAAGGAATTGATCACTTCAGAAATGAGGTTGGATTTGTGAAGTTAGCAGAAAATGATCATGCAACTGTACTTAAGGAAATAGCAGGTACAACTTGTCAATCTAGTTTAAGGACTTTTAAGGCTTTTTGACAACCTAGACGAGAATGGAGCACAAAGACAAGTTTGTTAACAAATAAAAAGATAATTTAGTCAACATTGATTTACCTTTAACAACTGCAAAGGCTACATGATGAATTTTCTAGTGTAGTTCAAAAGGATATTAGTGAATGATACTGTTCTCTGATACCCTTTTATTTAGTATGTGTAAAAAAACCGTAGTGCAGGTTTGTAGATGGATACAAAGGCTCCATTCTACCTTGTTTTGGTCCAAGTGCTGTATGTTGTTTCTCAGCTGATATTTATACCCTTTTCAATTTGTATATTCATACTTACTGACATTAGGAACTGTATCTTTGATGCATCTTTCCTGACTTGCAAAGTTCTGTAGTTCTCTCCTTTGCATTCACACCGAGTAGAGCACTGAGAGACAGCGATGTTCTTTCCACTTCCTTCATCTGGGGACTTTGTGTTTCCTGTATCATATATCACTCTTAAATCTCAGTGAATTAGCTGTATCTTACCACTCCCACATGCATAAGTGCATATATACACAGACATATATATATATATATGTCTGTGTATATATACATGTACTTCATGCATACACTTCCATTTATGTATAACGTAAAATCTGGACTTTCTCTGCACTCCTGGAGGATAAGGGGAATTCAGGAGAAGGACATAACTCATCTGCCAGAGGAATGGAGTTGGATTCCATGCTGCTTTAGCCTGAATTTTTCTGAGCAGTTGTAGAACCAGTCTGTGGCTTATTCACTGTTAATTGCCTTCCTTTATCAATTAGGTAGTTACTGAAAGATGTGGCAGGTACATGCTACTATGCACATGTTCACTTCAAAAGCGAAACTCAGTTCTATCTTAATAATGGAGCTAAGGCCACTGCCTTTGCCAGTCAGATAAAATGCATCCAAAGGTACAGTTCAAGTCAGTAGTAATATATTAATTAAAAGGAGTGTAAATAACAGCTGAGAAACAGCAGTCAGTACCTAGACCAAAACAAGAGGAGTGGAGGTTTTTATTTGCCTGTGAGTCTATACTTAAATTATGTTTGCAGATATTAAATAAAAAGTCTCAGAGAACAATACTGTCTGTAATTCACTGGTGTCCTTTAAAACTATCCCGGCAATTCCAAATATTTCTTAGAAAGACTCTTTGAAAGAGTTTTTCAGTATTGATGAATTATCTTTTGTGCTCTGAGGAATGTGAGGTCACACCATTTCTTAATAGTGCAATAACCCATATAGGACATTTTGCAGAGTAGCAGACTGCTGCTGTCACGCTACTTCTTTGCTGTCCAGTACAGAGAGAAAATGGAAGAAGTCTTTATTAATACAGTGCTTTCTCTAGCTAGTCATTAGTTTAATTTCTGAAGTACCTTTAGAAAATGTTTAGTATTTTTAAACTTAAAGAAAGGTTGAATAGAAGACTGTGAGCTTTTCAGCTTACCAAATTGCTTATGCTGTTATTGGGCAATACTTTATTATTTTAAGCAGTGCTCAGTAGAGAAGTATTTCTAATATTTAGTATGGTAGAAATTGAACAGTACTTTCAGTTCCAGACAGGTTTCAGTTGTCAAATAATCCCATAATTATTTAAAAGATTGAATCTACCAAGTATTTCTTCAGTCCTTTGAATGATATGCTTCCTCATCCTTGTCTTTGAGTTTGTCTTTAGATTTATTTTAAAGGTAACAGAATATTGTATGTATGCTGTTTTACAAACACTGAGATAATTCATAAACTGTGTTCCCTTTTGATACTTCTTGTGAAAGGACATGAATGGTTTCTGTTAGTGACAGTAACTTTTGATTTTGAGAAGTTTATAGTTAAGAATTCCAAAATAATTGAAGTTGCTAGACATGGAAAGCCAAATATCTTTTAACTACAGGAAATAAAGGAGTTTGTTATGAGCGATTTTCTACACGTTTGTATTAGGTTTGTGTGGCCAGGTTTTGGTAGTGGGAGTGGGCTACAGGGATGGTTTCCATGAGAAGTACTAGAAGCTTCCTCCGTGTCCAGTAGAGCCAATGCCAGCCAGCTCCAAGATTGACCTGCCGCTGGCCAAGGTTGAGTCAGTCAGCAATGGTGGTAGTGCCTCTGTGATAACATATTTAAAAACGAGTTAAAAAAAGCAACCTGTACAACAGAAGCCAGAAGAGAGGAGTGAAAATAAGTGAGAGAAACAGCTCTGCAGGCACCAAAGTCAGTGACAAAGGGGAGGGGAAGGAAGTGCTCCAGGTGCCAGGGCAGAGATTTCCCCTTGCAGCCCATGGTTAAGACTACGGTGAGGCAGGCTGTCCCTCCGCATCACATGTTTGTTAATGATGGAGCAGATATGTACTTTCAGCCCATAGAGGACCCCATGGTGGAGCAGGTGGATGCCCAAAAGAGGCTGTGACCCTGTGGGAGGCTCATGCTGGAGCAGGCTCCTGGCAGGACCTGTGAATCCATGGAGCGAGGAGCCCATGCTGGAACAAGTTTGCTGACAGGACTTGTGGCCCTGTGGGGGACTCACACTGGAGCAGTCTGTTTCAAAGGACTGCACCCCGTGAAAGGGGCTCACGCTGCAGCAGTTCATGAAGAAGTCCTTCGTGGGAAGGACTCACATTGGAGGAGTTTGTGGAGGACTGTCTCCTGTGGGAGGGACCCCATGCTGGATCAGGGAAGAATGTAAGAAGTCCTCCCCCTGAGGAGGAAGGAGCAGCAGAGACAAAGTGTGATGAACTGACCACAACACACATTTCCCATCCCCCTGTGCTGCTCAGCAGGGGAGGAGGTAGAGAATTCAGGAGTCGAGTCGAACCTCAGAAGAAAGAAGGGGTAGGGGGAAAGTGTTACAAGATTTAGTTCTTATTTCTCATTACCCAGCTCTGATTTGATAAGTAATAAATTTAATTCATTTCCCCAAGTTGAGTCTGGTTTTGCCCCTGATGGTAATTGGTGAGTGATCTCCCTGGCCTTATCTCAACCCACAAGCCTTTCGGTACATTTTCTCTCTCCTGTCCAGCTGAGGAAGGGGAGTGATAAAGCAGCTTGGGGAGCACTTGGTGTCCAGCCAGAGTCAACCCACCACATCTTAGACTGGTGAACCTGATTTTGATCAGAATTAGACAAGTAAAAGATGTGATCAGATTTCAAACTTTGTTTTTCAGTTTGTCAGTCCTTCCTAGTAGACAAACTCAGCACAGTCAATAGTAAACAAGCAAACTTATGTTTTCTTTGTAAAGCATAGCTACTGATACGCACAGGTGAGCATTATTTGCTTATATTAGAACTACAGCTGTATATTATTTTCAGTTAATGCTCCTGTTTAGTAAAAATATTTCTTATTTCAGTGCTTACTTTTGCAAACCAAATAGGTAATTTCTTGGCCTTAGGCCTGCTGTTCAGTCTCTAGACTTATACAGTGATGTTTGTTTCATCTGGATTTAGTTCTGAAGTAGGGTAGGGAGCTGAATGTTACCGGAAGAAAATGCTAAAACGACTGAAAATGTTTAATGGGTATGACTTCAGAATATGCTATCTTAACGTTTCTTAGTGACCATCATAACTGTAACTTCTGAATTGCTGCTGATTTCAGAGTATCTTTTTGTGACTCCCTGGAAGTGCTAATATTATTGCCTAACAGCTAACCTATATTTCATGAAAGCCAGTTCAGTATCCTGAATACACAATTTTAGAAAGACAGCTGCAAGAGAAAATACTGCAAGCTTTTCTACTGGGCTGCTATTGTCAGGATCATCCTGTGTGAAGATTGCTATCAGCTCTTCATATATACTGCTGTGAGGTTATAAATGTTTGACAGAAATTAATTGTCACAGGTTTATTCTGGCTCCTGGTACAGCTTGCCTGTGATACAACTTGTATCCCTAGAAAACTCCAATTTTAAAACTGAAGCTGGCAGAGAGAAAAAGAAATAGACAGTATTGCCTGCAGGATGTTAATCATTCTGTTGTTGTCCATGGAACAGCGAAGAGAGTTCACTTCTGTAGATGGTTTGATTTTTGGAAAGACCTAAGTTTAGTTTAATACAGAATTACTGTTTTGCTACTTTAAGATTGTGTTTGGTTTCTGGTATGCTCTAAGGTGAATTTTGACTTCACGTGTCATTTTGTGCTCTAAAAGGACGTTGAAGGCATAATATTGATAACACAAACAATAGAAAATATATGAAATTACATTAGCTTCTTGTAAGAGCCCACGTAGTTCCATAAATTATATGGGAATTTGTTTGATACCAGTAATGTCTGAATGTGGTACAGCATTATAATGGTAAGTGCAGGTCTGCTGATGCCAATGTAAATATAAGTTTGCCATAGGCAAAAGTTCAGGAAAAGCAGAGCTAATATGGATTTTCTGTTTGTTGTGATTTGCGTTAGCATCATATAATTATCTCTCAGGAATAGTGCTAAACTGCTAGGACTGAAATTTAAGGAGTATTTTAACCACTCTTTGTCCAAGTCATTTTAGAAATCCTGATCTAAAAGCAATGTATACACTTTAAAAACTCTAATTTCTTATGCTTTGCTACACTGTAGAACTGAAGTACTACGGGAATTTGGAAAACATAATGAATTGTTTGGCTTTGATTCTCATTTTGATAATTACATTATAAATGTTATTTGAAGCTGATAAAAGTGAGTAAGTGAATCCTGCTTTTTACCTCCAGGATTTGTGGATTTTGGTTTTATGGATAAGTGATGCACATTATGGTCTGACCATCAGAGGGAGCTTGTATTTCATGAACAGAAAAGTTACTTTTATGTTTATGCAGATAACTATTCCATTTGCTCTTCATCATTCTTTTTAAGAAATGTGGATTTGTTGGGTTAAATATTTTAATACATTTAGGATTGCACTAGTCAGACATATAATACACCTAACTAGTAATTTCCTTTAATATAAGTTTTCTAAAAAACCACATTTAGTCTAATCACACTAATTCAATTTTCCTAACAGTCCAGACTAG